GACTGACTGACTGACTGACTGACTGACTGACTGACTGACTGACTGACTGACTGACTGACTGACTGACTGACTGCAGCTGACTGACTGACGCATCAGTTCAATGTTTAACTGTTTAGCTGCCGACTTTTCAAGTAGACAAATATATTGTAGCCGTGTATTTGCATGTTGTTCTTATATCCGGTAAAATACTTCTATTCGTATGCCTCTCACAGGACACACCAAAATGAATTGTATTCTTTGCTTGGATGCTTGTCACACTCAAAATAGTAATTCGTGAAACAAGTGTAACTCATTAGCATCAGTCTATTCTGTTGCTTGGTTTACAAAAATGCTGCATTATTCAAGGCAATCTATGGTTATTTTGCTGCATCTTGAAAGAATATAAAGTCTTGTGTTTCATAGAAATTTGTCATGTATGGAGTAATCGAAGCGTGAACTGAAATACTAGGAAGCACGATTGCACAGCTGTTTCGGCCTGGTTTGATCTTATCCGAGCAGTGAAAATTCATCAGTCCGACTGGGGATCGAACGCGGGACCTCGTCGCAGGAAGAAAACAAGCACTCGGCCACTGGATCAGGCCGGTTCTCATTTTTCATTTACACGACCGTTTCCCCTTAAGAAATTGAATCAATTCCTCCATTATTCCTGTGTATTGTGTTTCGTTGTAAATCCTCTCACCAAACACACTATTACAGTCCTTGCCATCAGCCAACAAACTGGTTATTCATCTTGAATTCTGTAAGAGAAAAGTTTGTCAAGCTCATCTCATTATATATACATATATATAGTGACACTTATTAAAGATTAGACTTAGTAGTTATTATTGAACTCTTCAATTGTGCTTTACTCATTAAGTACAAATCACCACTTGTATAACTCCTCGAAATCATATTTGAAAAGTTTGATTAGCTGATATATCTACAAGTATTGTAACATAACCTTATCCGTCATTCCCCTTTTTACTAGGATTAACATTNACATTATTCTCACCATGTCACTGAGCAGAACGATTGCCAATCGTGCGTTTCGTGTTTTCCGGGCAATGATCCCCTACTTGAGTGAGTTCGCCTGCATAATTTTTGTTGCCTGTGCCTTCGATTCCTCCAGCACTCTCCCGTCCAGTTTAGACAGGAAGCAATCAACTAGAACTTGCTCACCTCTGGTTTATCTGTCAGGCCAATGGAATCTTCTTTTCATCTCTTATAGGGCAGAATAAAAGGTGCGATGATGAAGGTTACCGTGTACCACATGATTGGACACATACTGAACTGGTAGTAGACATTTACGATTTTGTTTACCAGCCCCTTCAGGGAATTTCAAAATAAAAACATCAGACAGGATCAAAAAACGTAGTTAGAGTTTTGATATTATCAAAATGTATCTTTGTCAACAGAAGAAATATCACAGAATCGTAGTCTTTGTTGTGTATATTGCCAATATGATATGACTGACATGGAGTAGAGGACAGTGTTTATCGGAAAGATATTTTTAGCCTTTCTTATACCTGTAACTGACTGAAATAAGGTTGACAAGGTATATTTCGGCGCTGGTTCATTTGCGAAAATCATCTCATGCAGCGATCTCTTATGAATAATTTAAAATCACTTTATTAACAATTAGAACATTAAACTTGTTACGACACTTCTCTATTGAACGGTATCAGTATAGTCGGTAGTGTGGTTTGAATAATATATGGTCTAGGTGGCAACAGGCACAAGAGTAGACTTGTATCCCATTTAGTTTCGACTTCGAATTGGTTCTCACAGTCCGTCTGCAGTTTCAGTCAGATACCGAGGTGATCTTCATGATGGCAAGGACTTGTTGTCGTTCATAGATGGGATCCGTTAACCTTAAAAGTCCGGAACTTGGACTGGCAAACCACTTTTTGAGGCCTCAAACAGGAAAACCTTAGTGTTCATGCAGTTGAAACTCACGTTTTCTTACCGCAATGTTGACTGACGGTAAGTTTGAAGAACAGATCCAGTAGGTGCAAGTGGTTGGCTTACGTCCACAATCAATTTAGTTGTGGTTCCGTGTGATTCTATTGGCACCATTTAGTATTGCATATTATTCAAATTCAAAGTTTCATTATGGGTGATTTAACAAAGCTTAAGTTTATCATGCCCCATTGGATTTTTATAAAATCTTTTGAATAACTTTACAAAGAGAACATAATAAAAGTAATATGCATGACCACTCAGGGATGTCGAAATGTTAATTGTTTCAATGCTTCACCAAGTTACGAGTTGAATAGTTCAACTGTAGGAGCACACACTACATCGGATGGAAGAGAATCCCATACATGCCGCACACTCTGACCGCAAACGAGTGATGCCGCCAACCAAGGTGGATGTTGTGAGTCCTCAACTTTGGTGGATCTCCTCTAAGGTGATCATTCTAAGACAAAGTCTACACAGAACGGCAAGCATGGTTGGGTTGATGCAGTATGTGGTATGTCAAGATTAGNNNCCCCCCCCCCCCCCCCGAAGTCAACGGTATTGAGATGAGTAAAGCCCTAATATTCGCAGTCTTTTAGAGTGTCTTGTTGTACAATCTTTTACCAATTTTTTTGACAACCTTTACGGACGGTCTAGGGCCTTCTTCTCGTCGCGATTCAACCATGTATTCCATACTTAGACGGCGTACTCTATATGTGGCCGAACGAATGCCGATAGCAAGCGTGGGAACAGTGTTCATTTGAGTTGTTCACAAGCACGTTTAATTAGTTCAACTTGCTTTAAAGCCATCGGATGATTGTGGAGCATCCCACGCTCTTCTGTACCATAACTCTTAAATCCCTTTCATCAGTGGTATGCGGTACTATTTGGTTCCCCCGAACATAGGAGAAAAGGCGGTAGATGACGCCTTTCTTCGGATAAAACGTGCCTCACGATGTTGCACCAAAGATCCTGACGTG